CTGTAGTTTTACTGGAAGAAATGGAGGGCAGAAATCCATTCACAAGTAGGGTCGCTCAAGTGTGCCAGGGCTACGGGACAGTCACACACTGTGCACGCTGAAATGCTAGGGTGTGTGTCTGAGTTTGTAGGACCATCTCTTCCACTTTGGCATGAAATCTGCTTTCTATTCTATAGTAGCCCTAAGTACTAAGAAAATCAAAGATTCATGCTATTTTTTCAAACATCCAAATTGAAACTAACTTTACAGATTAAGATATTCAGAGTATTCTCTCCATTTTTTTTTCATATTTTGGAAAGTCAGAAGAATATTCCCATTATAGGAGGTAACAATAAAATATTGAGAGTCTGTCAACCTTGGAGTTATTCCTCCTGCCTCCAAGAAGGCACACTACATTTCCATTAAAGACAGAGTTACCTCCTACAGCCTTCAAGGGAAACTTTTATAAAACTGCATGCACATTCAGCTTCTGCCTGCATGAAAATATTTATCCTTAAAACCCCTGGTAGCCTGCAGACCTGGAAGAATATAACTCAAAAAGTAATTTATATGCTGACAGTTACTACTCCCCCACTTCCTATAAAATATAATTTCTCTTGCTTAGAGTGTAAAGTCCTAATTATTCTTTACTTCCAGGTGGATCATGATGAAATATGGAGTGTTCTTGTAAAAGTCATACAGTAGTGTCTATGAGATTATATATCAAGCTTCAGATATAAAAGCTTGACAAACATTCAGCTCTATCCCACATAATCTGTTACAAAGCCAGTCTCTTCTGTAAAATAACCAGAGACCCGAGCAATGTAGGTTGCTGTAGGGAGTTGGCTCTGTGTTTTTGCTTTCATTACTTTTCTGAATCTACAAGAGGTGCAAGATTATCCGTCAGCTGAATGCAGCTATTTCTAGGGAATTAGTCTTTAGGATAAAGCCGCTATTGTGAGGTTGGCCGTCATACTCTCTTGGGTCAGGAAAGACACTGTCTAATTTTTAAAGATGATTATATGAGATCCTAACCCTGAGGAATCAATGAAATATCTTGGTGGTCAGGATCTTAATATTACGTATGGCAACTTACTCACTTAGCAGATCTAATTCTAGTGTCTATCCACAGGGTAGAAACTCTCACCCAGAAAGAGAATTCGTCTGGTATGGTTAGCCACATGACTCAAATATGCAAACATCCTGGAAAAGACAGAGGACGTTGGTTGCTGGAAAATAACAAAAAAATACCATTTCTGTCTCCCTCGTCCTTGTTTTTACTCCTGTATCAGATGGATCAACCGAATGACACCTATAGAAAGCTCTGGAATGTCCTAGGAAAGAGGTTGGATGGAAAAAACCAGACTAAGGAAGAGCATGCTTTTAAAATGAAGGCTGAGAAGATCCATCCAAGGTACCCTGAAGTTTTAGGAAAGGAATACCTCGTTCATCCCGTCTCACTCGTATGCATGGTGCAGTGATTATACACAGGAGTCAGGATGGATAACCCACAGACAGATGACCCACGTGGGATTACACACAGACAGATAACCAGTGGTGTCTCACCAGGACAGATGCTCACAACAGCGGACACAGGTGTGTGAGTTGGGAAGGCAGGCGTGGGTCTAGACACCACCGAGTAGAGTCTGCCTTAGGCAGACGGATGAACGGTCCACTTGGATTACAGAGGAGAACCCTGGGGTAAGGGAGAGATGTGCTTACACAAGAGGGGATTTATCTTACTGAGAGGGAGGGGCTTAAAATAGACTGTGGAATGTGGCCTAAGGGGACAGAGAAAGGATTGGGACCTTACTCAGAAGAAGGAGATCCTCAAAGATCTCCCTGAGGAGGCTGAGGCAGGAGGATCATGGGTTCAAAGCCAGCCTCAGCAATAGCAAAGCGCTAAGCAACTCAGTGAGACCCTGTCTCTAAATAAAATGCAACATAGGGCTGGGGATGGGGCTCAGGGGTCGAGTGCCCCTGAGTTCAGTCCTTGGTATCAAAAAAAGAAGTCACTGAGTTTGCAGAGCTGGGTGAGGAGGGCCCAGGAGGACTGAGAAGGCCAGGCACGTGCTGTGGCCAAGGAGCGCTCCACAGACGTTTTCACGTGAGGGGGACCACAGCCAGACAGACCCCGGGTGATGTAACCTCAACAATGAGCAGTTGAGGTGGCAGCTTTCCCCTGCTTGCTCCTGTTCTGGGGAGACACACATATTAAATTACGGGAGTTGGCAAACCCACTCCAGTTGCTAACAGGGAAAGAATGTTGTTGACTGGGAAGAGCCGGGGTGCAGAGGGACATGCCTGTTTCACAGCACGGGTGGAATCCCCACCGTCCGTAGGAAAAGAAGTGATGCAGACGTTAGATGCAATTTGATAAGATTTTGGTGTTGGAGAGAAATAAGGCGGATCGCGGCTCAGGATAGGGTTTTGGGGGAAACAACAAGAAAAGAAAGTGGAACTCTACAGGATGACGATTTGAATTTCATGAGAAAGAGATGACACGGTTTGAGCTCGAGGAACAGCTGGACAGAGGTCACATGTGATTTAAAATCGGAGACAAAGGACTTTCTGGCCCTGGTGAGGGGGGAAGGGGCTCGCGAGTTCATGGTTGGAGGCACTGGGTCTGGGGGGCCTGCTGCCCTGCAGGTGGAGGTGCTGCGAGGCAGCTCAAAGTGGCACCGGTCAGAGGGAGGCAGAGGGAGGCACTAGCAGGTGGTCCAGGCACGGGAGAGAATGGCCTCCCGCCTCCTTCTCCCTCCCAGGCTGGGTCCTCTGCCCTGCGTGCTCTGGCCAGGCCTTCCTTATCTGTGCCCTGCTTCTGTATGGAAAGGTGTCTGTGTGTCAGGAGCGCACAGAGGACGGGGGCTCACGGGGAAGAATGTGGTGCTCTTTCCCCTCCTCCATGTTAGCTCTGGGCTCTGCAGGCAATGCACAGGGTCTTTATTTTACATTTATCTCCCAAATTCAAGATCAGGCACTTCTAAGGCGGAGACCAGAATACATCCAGGGTTGGGAAAAATGTCTACGTGTGTGTGCGCACATATGTGTGTGTGTGTGTGTGTGTGTGTGTGTTTACACTCAGCCCTCCATATCTGTAGGCTGTACATCTGTGGATTCAACAGTATTCCCTCAAAAATACTTGGGGAAAACATTGCTGTTGTATGGAGCACATAAGGACTTTTCCTTGTTATATTTTTTTAATCTTTATTTATTTATTTATTTTTATGTGGTGCCTCACCCGTGGGAGGCAAGCGCTCTGCCACTGAGCCCCACCCCCAGCCCCCTTTTTCTCGTTAATAGTTCCTAAACGATACACTAGACCGACCATGCACGCCATAGTATTGACGTTGTATCGTAAGTCATGATGGTTTAAGGTGCATGGGGTATGTGCATGGGTTAGTTGCAAAGACTATGCTATTTTATGTAAAGGATTTGACTTCCCTTGGATTTGGGTATCCATGGGACAGTACTCTGGGAACCAATCTCCCAGAGACACTGAGAAATGACTGTATTTGTATAGGTGAGTGCATATGTCTGTGAATATATACACCCATGTACACTATGTTTATAGAAAATTTTACAGGACATATACACTATACAGAGGATGTACATCATATATATACAATATCATGCAATTAAAGGGTATTGCACATTATGTATGTATGTGTAGTATTTTAGCATAGTATTTCTAGCATCATAGACAATGCAATGAATGAATGAATGACTACATTTAAAAGTGAATGAAGCAGTTGGGTTTGATGGCGCAGGCCTGTAATCCCAGCGGCTCTGGAGGCTGAGATGGGAAGATCACAAGTTCAAAGCCAGCCTCAGCAACACAGTGAGGTCATAAGCAACTCAGGAGACCCTGTCTCTAGATAAAACATAAAAAAAGGGCTGGAGATGTGGCTCAGTGATTAAGTGCCCCTGGGTTTCATCCCTAGTGCCAAAAAAAAAAAAAAAATGAAGCTTCTTAACACATAGAAATAGTTCCATGAGATGTTTTAGGGAACCGTTACATAGTACCTGGACTTATACATAAAAATTGACCCCTTTGAATCTATTTAATCTCCAGAGAGCGGATTTCTCCAAAAGCCAGGAAGCTGTGATTCTGGTACTTGTAGAAAGTGTCATATCCGACCAACCTGCTCATGTGGAGCCTGCCTTTTTCCCAGGTGGTGGAAGATAATTATGAGCAATTGCTGCATCTAACTCTGCAGAGCTAGCGTTGCCTCTGCGAAGCTGAGTGCATTCTTTGCCTTCTCATCAAGACCAACTCCCATGAGGGAGGCAGGGTTCTGCTAGACTAATGAACCAATGGCCCTAGGGTCCCCAGGACAAGGGATGCCCCTGGCCGTCTCTCTCATTCCTGCCCTGGTTCCCTGAGCCCCTTCCAGGTGCTCCTACACGGCAGTCCCTACCAGCCCCGCACACTGAACAAGCCACAAACATCAAGGAACTTATTTTACAACTAAGATGTGCATGTCCTGTGAGACCCTCTTGTTTTGCTCAGTTGGTGACAAACATACTACTTAAGGGGAAAAAAAGAATGGAAACAAGGAAAACCAATGTGGGAATTCTTAAGTAACTTCACTCAACGGAGCATTAGGTAGCTGTCCAAAAAGGAACACAACCACAGTGTGACACCAAGGAAAAACAGGCATGCCACTTTCAAGAGAAAAACAAAAACTACAACAATGTGACAGTTTGTGTTCCCTTTAGAGAGAAGTGTGCTTGTGCACAAAGCCTGCAAATAACGGAAGTGCATAAATAGATGGCTCACAAGGTACGGCTTTCTTTCTTTTGGTGGCGGTCCTTGGGACGGAACCCAGGGACTCACCCGTGCTACACAAGTGCTCTACCACCGAGGTGCATCCTGCCCTGTTTTCTTGTTCAGTTTCCTTCACGACACCAAGACAATTGCACCAACAATAAACACCACAAAGATGTCTCCAGAGGTGAAATTGTTTTGCACCTCGTTCTTCCATAAGATACACAGGTGTGTGTCACAATAGAGCTCAAGACGCATGTGGAGGTCACTTACTGTAATTGGTGGGGTGTGGGGACGTGAAGTGAAGGGACACCTTGGCGCTCTTGAGGCGGGTCTGCCCCCAGTATGTGATGGCCTGCAGTTCCACGGTGTAGTCGTAATCTGGCTGAAGCCTCTCCAGGATCACGAAATTCTGGAGCTGCAAACAGAGGGAGTATCCCCGAGCCCCGTTAGAAACGGTCTTCGCCTCTCGTTTCCACAGCAAATCTTACCAGACATTGTGAAGCACGTCAACATTTAGCTTGCATGGACCTTCAACTTCCCAAGGTCAGACACTGTGTGGATTTGCACCATGGAAAATCCACTTTTACCGCGGATCAAAATAGATTTCATAAAAAGGCCAGAACCCGTTAAATAATAATTGTCCTAGTTCAACAACTGCATGTGCAGGAGCAAATGATTTCAAACACACTTCCTTCTAGACAGCAGTCTGAACAGAAAAGAGGGCTCTTCCTAATGAAGTTACAAAGGCTTGTGTTGCCAGAGACCCGGGACAGTTATGAGATGGCATTAATTGCCCTTCTTTGCTAACTGTTCTACATCTCCTGAGTGCAGTTCCACCAAAAGTTACAAAACAAATCAGCTTCAAAAAAATGCTTGAAGATATTTCTGCCATCATTATTGTCAATGTCAAACACTGACCCAATTTTCTATAGATGCTGCTGCGATTGAAAGGAAGTAAAGCAAAACTGCATAATCGGCCTAGTATCTTGGGGACAAGACAGGAATTCTGCAAAGGCTAAAGGAGAAGGTGATGTCTCCAGGTGCACAGAGCAAGGTGGAATTAGAACTGAAGATTACACTTAGGAGAAGTTTAGTAAAGCCCCCTTCCAGGAACTTGTATTCAAGACAAAGAAGATCATTGCCTTAGAATTTAAAACACTCATTAAATAGAATGCACTTGGTCACTTAAAAAAGACAGGTGGTAGACAGGTGTAGTGGCACATGCCTATAATCTCAGTGACTCATGAGGCTGAGGTTGGAGGATCAGGAGTTAGACCAGCTTCTGGGTTCCCCATTTCCTTTAAGTAGGATTTATCTGTTTAATTGCATCTCATTCTTCCTAAACTCTGTTTTCCGCCAGGTCAATTAAAATTCACTTTTCAAAGAGCCTTCACTTGGAAGTCCCCACTTTATTTAGTTACCATGGATATTAGAACGGCATCTTAAGAAATGGGAATAGTCGATCCCCAGGAAGAAATTCCTTGGTGTCTTATTTCTTTGGTGGTTTTCTGTTTTCTAATCTCATTGATCAGTTGGCCAAACTTTAATATCTCAAAGTGCAATAATTCATATACAATGTAGCTTGTCTTTTTTCCACTGGAAAATACAAGACACTCATGAGATAGTGACCCATAATTTGGGCTACCCTGGGTGTTATGGTTTAGATATAAAGTGTCCCTCAAAAGAGAATGTTCAGAGGTAAAATGGCTATATTATGGGGTGTAATCCAATTGGTGCATCAATCCGCTGATAGGGATTAACTGGGTGGTAACTATAGGCAGGTGGAGTGTGTGTGGCTGCAGGAGGTGGGTCCTTGGGGGACATGCCTTTGGGATTTATATTTTGTCCGTGGTGAGCAGTCTCTCTCTCTCTCTCTCTCTCTCTCTCTCTCTCTCTCTCTCTCTCTCTCTCTCTCTCTCTTATTTGCCAAGTCCTGAGCTGGTTTCCTCCAGAACACCTTTCTGCCCTGATGTTCTGCCACACCTTGGGCCCAGAGCTATGGAGTCAGCCATCTATGGACTGAGACCTCGGGAACCATGAGCCCCAAATAAACTTCTCCTCTAAAATTGTTCTTTGTCAGTTCTTTTGGCCACTGCAGTGAAAAGGTGACTCAAACACTGGGCTCACGGATACTTAAATTAGTAACTGCACTGGATCATTGTGATTAATTTAATTTATGATTTATGCTTTGTTTATATAATGGGCATATGATAGACATCAGTTGCTCATATCCCAAGTGTATCTTTGATGCTGTCTGGTTACGAATGTCATAAAATGCCACCTGAAGTAGGGAACTTTAACATTTTATCATGTCATTTTTTTTTCCTTTGGATTCCAGTGATTTTACAACTTTAGCTCTTGAGCTATTTCTATCAGACAAAACATGGCAGGATTCTTCAACATAAGAAATCAACCTGTATGACAATATCTTCAAAATGAAAATAGTTTAACAGTTAAATATCGATGATATGGGCTTTTGGAGACATAATTTATAATTCTAAGTAGCACAGATATCAAAATCTTTAGTACAAAAAAAATCCTATCTTTTAAAAAGTATTTTTAAACAGAACTCATTTAGGAAATCAGCTTCATAAATGAGGGAGAAGAGTGTTTATATAAATGTTATAACATCAAAATAAAGGAAGGTACACCAAAAGTAAATCGAGCAGCTAACTCCTTTATGCACCAAAATGTCCTGTTCACTATGATTGAAATCTCACTGCAGAGAAGGGCTCAATGAAGATATAATTTTTGGCATCTGGATGATAAAGCCCTTCAGATTCTTCTTAAATCAGTGTGAAAAACACGTGGCCCAACTGTACTTTCTAAGTTGTGTGCAGGTGGAAAAGCTCGAAATAGGAGAATTATGAATATTTGCCTTTCAATTTACAAAGTTCTTTTAAGAGAGAGAGAGAGAGAGAGAGAGAGAGAGAGAGAGAGAGAGAGACCTGCGTATAAAGGACATCTTACATTATTTCATCTTTGTGGCTACATAGGTAAGAAGGACGTATGTTAATTGTGGCTTTGATTTCTGGAGGTGACGTTGTAACTGCCATTAGAATAAGAGTAGGTGAGTGGACTCAATTCAATTGTGATTGCCTAGGATGGGACAGAAACCCTTGGCACGCATGCTCCTTGGTGCTCAGTTACTCTAACAAATGCCTCAGAAGATCAACTTAGAAAAGGTCTGTCCTGGCTGACAGTTTTAGAGGTCTCAGTGGTCCTCTTTTTTTGGTGGGGTGGGTATGGGGATTGAACTCAGAGGTACTTGACCACTGAGCCACATCCCCAGCCATATTTTATATTTTATTTAGAGACAGGGTCTCACTGAGTTGCTTAGCACCTCACTAAGTTGCTGAGGCTGGCCTTGAACTCGCGATCCTCCTGTCTCAGCCTCCCGAGCTGCTGGGATTACAGATATGTGCCATGGTACCCACCTGGTGACCCCTTTGCTGTGGGCAATGTATTATGGCCAGAGTAGGTGCACAGTAAAATTGCTCTTCTCATTGCTTAGAAGCCAAGTGGTAAAGGAAGGGGCTGGGGTCCTATTGTCCCTTTCAAGGACACACCTCCAGTGACCCTTGGGTCCTAATGCCTGAGGACTCCACCCCCTCCCCACAGCTCCAAGCAGGAGACCAACACTTTTAGCTCAAGACGGGCCACTCTTCCGACTTGGGGTTCACATACACCCTGCGCGACGCAGCCCTCCCTCCTCATTCCCACTCACCCCGTCTGTGGTTTTTCTCCGCTTCTTCTTTGTAGGGACAAGGGACTTGTTGCTGACCGTCCAGCTCCAAAACACCTTGTAGTGGTGCACGGGGATATCTGGCTCCTCGGGGAGGTCCCAGGCAAAGGTCACCGTGACGGTCCCGTCACTGTTGACGGTGGAGTTGGCCAGTTGGAGGTTAGCGGGGGCTGGTGGTGCCGACGGATCTGTAACCCCAGGGAAAAGAGAAGCCATCTCAGTCGCCGACCAGGGTCAGCAGCGTGACACCAATTTTATGTGCATTGTCATGTAATCCGATGACTTATGTACAATGTCCAGTTTTGCAGTTCTACCCATTCTGGTTTCTGAAAACCCAAATCTCAATTGGGTGCTGAAATCACCAACCTACAAAACTCTGTATGGAGAAGGCATCGTGTGATCGCAGCCGGAGGGTCTGCTCATCATTTCTAGTTGCAAATTGAGCTCAGGCAGCTGCCCCACACCACAGGCCACCTACAGATGCCCCCACAGCAGAACACAGCCCAGGGTTCCAGCTACAACGCCATCTGCACAGGAGGCCCAGAGAGACCATATCTAACAACGTAGAAGCCAGGAGAAAATGTACCCGTGTTGTGACTGTCAGGGATTCCAAGCTTTGGAACAAGGGCCAAGGGAGTTATGTTAAAAAATTCTTAGCTTTCTGCAGTTTGGAGATTCCTTAGAAAACTTGGACTGGAACCACTATGTGATACAGCTATCCCAGTCCTTACTCTATACCCAAAGGACTGAAAATCAGCACACTACAGGGACACAGCCACATCAATGTATATAGCAGCTCAATTCACAAGAGCTAAACTGTGGAACCAACCAAGGTGCCCTTCAATAGATGAATGGATAAAGAAACTGTGGTTTATATACACAATGGAATATTACTCAGCCTTAAAGAAGAATGAAATGATGGCATTTGCTGGTAAATGGATGGATCTGGAGAAT